CGGCCCGACGCGCCGGCTTGGAGACCCTGCGCAGGAGAGGAGGCCGGTACGGCAGGCTGTGCGCCAGCCTCTGTTCCCTGGTGACTGCTTCTATTTAAGATGAGATTTTCCTGAGCTGAGTACTTATACAGCCCAAATAAATCATTGCAATAGCCCATGCACACAGAGCCAGAACAGTCGTCAATGAACCATGGCATACATCGCGAGACTCTTATGCCGCAAAGGGACGCCCGCTTTTCAAAGTGCGGTTCATCGCCGACTTGGTTGACCACCGAGTACACATTGTTTCTGGCTTAGCACTTTCAGTTCTTAAACGAAGCACATCAAGTTACTAAACTGACCCATCTAGCCCCTCTACCATCGCCGTAACTCATATCCTATCAGCCCACCAAACATGCTATTTGCGTTCCCAACATTAACCAACATTCCCTTTAACACTTTCCTTGACATTGAACTTTTCAGTAAACCAAATATTAAGAAGCTGACAGCTAGCAGGTGACAGCACATCTCTTGTTAGCAGACCTATTGTCGCGCTCCCTGGCGGCGGCCTCGCGGGGCTTGACCAAGCGAAGCGAGTTCTCCATGGAGTGGTCCAGCCGCGCCAGGAACTCCCGCAGCGCCTGCAGCGCCGTCTGCAGTGGTCCGTGGTCGGCGTGCTCCGGCGGCGTGCGTCGCAGCAGCTGCTGCAGCAGCAGCAGGTAGCGCGGCACCCGCTGCACCGGCGAGAGCAGCAGCGCCGCCAGGTCCAGACCGTGACAGTTCGGGTGTTGCTGCCGGCTCTGCGGGCACGCAGGGTTGCTGGGCATTTTCGACGGTTGTCTTTATGTTAATAAATGGTTACGCAAACTCCGATGCAATGCAGCGAAAAGAGGGCGAAAGGAAATGATAGGGCCGTAGACAATCAAGGCAACTCACTGTCTAGCCGATTATTGGGTCCTTAGTCTGTGTTTGTGTCGCTCTTTTGGTTGTTTTGTATTTGCGTGGAAAACACCCAGTTCCGCTGCATACCCTACACTTGTGCAAACATTTTAAACTGCACTTTCAGTTATGCTGGTATCTGACATTGTGTTTGCGCGCTTCCGTTAAGCCGGTGATTTAAAACAGTGGTCAGCTGCGGAAAACGGCGGCGAACAAACCTTGAGGAATTCTGCAAATTGGCTCGATGTGCGGCACAGTCTGTAGAAGGTGTTGAGAAGTTCTGGAAAACCAGCGACGTAGGTGGTGTACATGTGCAGTACTTCGGAATCTTCTCCAGAAATAAATCTGAAATGCGATCTTTGTGGTAGAAACACTGAGATCACAGATCGCCTGGCGTCTCACACGGATATAGTCTTGGCAGTATTTTGTAAACCCCGGCTTTGCCACACTGCCATGCGGTCCAACGCTCCACTGCGTCAGAGGTGCTGGTGCAATGCAGTAACCATGCACATGGTTATGCCTATGCAGTTCCTCCATGCATAACCGATTCGATACGAGAACTATAATGCAGAACACTACTCGCAACATTCTGCATGCAACAATGCATAACATCATTGCATTCAATGAGACAGTTCTACAGCACCGCGAGCGGACAAAAAGGCGTACATAAGTGTAAGTGACGTACATATCACCCCATTCAGGGGGATAGCCTATAGGTGATCACTACGGCATAGACCACCGCTGGTCTTCCCGGACTAGACTACCTACAGGTGACGTCACGCCCCCACCTGCAGAGCAAGTCCCCGACACTGGGGAGCCACGGCCAGGTCTGCAGGCGCTCCTCCAGCGAGTGAAGCAGACGACAGTGCTTCTCGTACAGCTGGCCAGCCTCCGCTGGGAAGAGGATGCTGAAAACGAGATAGCACGTGCCACCCGAGGTAACCACGACCACGTCAGACGCATGAGGTGATCATGTGGTCGAGTGTGACGACGGAGGCGGTCACGTGGTTAAGTCTGACGTCTGATGCAGCCTAGTTTGATGCCTGAGGTGGTGGCATGGTCTAGTCTGACGCCTGAGGTGATCACATGGGCTAGTCTGACGCCTGATAGTAAGTTGCGAAGCATCGCTGTTTGACATCGCATCTGCAATCTAGAATCGCTGTTTGACATCGCAAGCGGTAAAAACTCGGAAATATCGACATCAATGCCAGCGGGCGTACAAATATCTGAAAAGACAAGACAGACAGACGTGGGCAGGACAAACGTCCTGATTCAGCGTCATTCCTCAAATCACGCCGTACGACGCACGGACAAAACAGCGACAAGCGCGGCCGGGCCTCACCGAACTCCTCCTCGCTGAGGAGGCTGGAGGCAGCTAGGGGCTCGGCAACGTGTCCTGCACGGTCCAGAGGGTGGCGCAGTAGCGGCGCTCCGTCTCGGCCAGCTCGCGCCACCACGCCCAGCCGTTCGGCCTCCTCCAGCTCGCTCTGGCCGGCCTCCGATCGGGCTGCCGGCACGGGGTCAGCGGAAGATCTCACCTCACAGACTGTCGAGGTCTGACCCGGGAGGAGATCATCAAGGTGGGGTATGGGAGGGCTTTTGAATGGCGCCACCTCTTCATGGTTTGTTTGAATGCTTTATGCATGTTTACGTGATCATACACACGAATGTTTTTTTTGCACCAAAACTGTATCACAAGCAAACGCGATACTGCAACGTATATAGAGAAATCAGAACTCCGAAAGAGCAGGAAATACGGAAAACGAGTGCCAAGTTATACAGACGACATACGGAGAACGGCCTGTCGTAGAATAATTAGAAAAATATGGAAAACAAGACGGAAATGCACTTAATTTTAAGTAGAAAAGTGCACCCCATGTGGTTTTAACCCGCAAGTATCGCAAAAAGGGTGTACCTGTCCATCTGTTTCGTTGAGCTCGTCAAGTTCCAGGTCACACTGCTTGGATAAGCAGCTGCTAAACGCGAGCGATTTGTCGATGGTCATTGTAAGCGAGGAATCCGACTCGTAGCTGTCGCCACCTGGTGGACGTAAAAGAAAACACCGTCATCAGATGTCGACCACTCCAGACACCCGGACACCCAGGTGCTCATTGAACACTCATGTACGTACAGGTCGCATGTCATGCAGCCGTCCTAACACACACACAATACTCATTTTTATTTAATGTCATGTAGAACACGCATATAGTAGTTGATACTGTGCAATGGTACTTTAAAAAATCCCGCAAAATTGGGACCTTAGAACTGCTAAGAAAGGTATTGTCTTCTATGCAACACACGTAACTTCCATGTGACAGCAACAGGGTTTTCAGTGAATATATAATACAATGAAATATAAAATGTTTGGATATATTTATATTTATATAAATCAATGAATGTATAGGCATATATATATATATATATATATATATATATATATATATATATATATATATATCATAGCCAGGATTTCCAAAACCTCGCTTCCCGGCTTAATTCGCATCTCCTCAGAAACCACTGCCCACCGGTTTCAAGGCGTTGACATATTGCTGCACGATGGTTGAGACGAAGGGCTCGTCTGAGACCGATGTGCTGTCTTGGTCCGACCACCGCACCTTTTCGGGCGCCGGGCCCAGACCCGAGTCGTTGCTATGGCAACCACTAGATGTTCGGGACGGAAACTGTAGGCCGGCACGGTAAAGCTGTTGTCTGGAATGCAATATTATTTGTTAAGTCCAGTTTAAGTCCACGAAAGACATTTAAAAAGCTTCAAAATCGAAATGCACGAGTAGCAACAGCGCACCAATGAGAACATTGCTATGAGCCTTGGGCAGGTGTGATGTTGAGACGAAATTATCGAACTTGGAGTGCGACTCACCTAAGAAGACTCCTTGACGCGTTTTGTGTATTTTATAAATCAGACAACCCCGTGCATGCAACTGACACACAAATGCCCGAAGCAGAACATTTTGGTTTGGTTTGGTTGGCATGACACGATCTTGTTGACCTTTACCTATCCTGTAATTTCAAGACAGCAGAACTGTTGCGAGGCATGAAATTACATGACGGCACGAGTTTGGTGCTGATCGGTAAGTATTCCTAGCGATGGCAGCCTGTTCAACATTTTTTGACGTGTCTTTCTGTCGTGTCACAGACCAGTGACCTAATGAAACATAGTCACAACTTCCGTACACAGCATATGAGATAACCCATACAAAGTTATCCTGGGTTCTATGGGTTTGCAACTGTTCGTTCACTTTTCACCCTCGGAAACCGAAGCCAGTACGCGAGGGCCGTGGCCTTCAGTAAGTGCAGATTTTCTGGGTTCCATGGGTCTGCGACTGTTTGTTCATTTGTCACCCTCGGAAACCGAAGCCGGTACGCGAGGGCCGTGGCCTACAGTAAGTGCAGATTTTCTGGGTTCCATGGGTCTGCGACTGTTTGTTCACCTGTCACCCTCGGAAACCGAAGCCGGTACGCGCGCGCCGTGGCCTACAGTGACTGCAGAGTACTGTTATTTATTATGCTCCTCATTTTGAAAATAAATGGTTGCATGCCAATTCAATGTTCTATGAATATAATTTCACACCGCGGGCGTATGTATGAGGTAAAAAACCGTTTTCGATGTTGCACATATTTTCTGAACGTGTTTTTTGGAGGATTGTAGCGTGAACTTATTGTCTCTCTAGCTTTTGTACCGCGGTCCCCGACCATATACTTTTTCACATAACTTACATATTCCAAGTGGTAAGATATTTACCGCCAGAAGTGAAATTATGTATTGCTAACTGGGATATTCTTTCGCAGTTAGGCAGTATGGTAGAGTCAAAGTCGAGCGTGATCATCAATGTGCAAACAATGCAACGTCATTGGCGATAACGATGCTCTGTCAGGGAAAGTGTCCGAGAGCGACTGAAGACAGCTAAGTGAGACTAGAGCATGACCGAGGTCACCCCAGTGCGGGACGTGCAAGCGTGATTACACCCGCGAGGCTGCACGAACCTCGTCTGGCCGGAGACGCTGTCCGTCCTGCACAGCTCGTCCAGCAGCACGTCCCGCTCGTCCAGCAGCAGCCGCAGCTGCCGCCGGGTCGCCTTCTGGCCCTGCTGCAGCTGCTGCACCGCTGCCGTCACTTCGGCTAGCTCCGCCTGCGGCAGGGTAGCTAACGTCAGCTGCGCTTCAACGCCAGAGTAAGCGTGGTACGCGGTATGCCGTGAGGATGAGGAAGAGAACGCGGACGTTGATGTGGCTTATTGGGGATTGTCACGAGTCATTTCGTCCGATGGCGAATGCACCTCCTGATCCGTTCATCTCATGCTGACAGCACTGGGATTGTTGGGGCTACACGCTCAGCTGGTGAGTTCAGCTAGCAGCCGTCACTTATTGTTTTTCTTGCGGGGACAGGCGCTTAGTCAGACTAAGACACTCAAGCGATTCTACTCAGCATGACATTAAGTGTTAAAGTCACCACCATAAATATATACACGAATAAGCATACCTAACATAAACACATAATAATATATGGTGCTACATAATAAATAGGGATAAATATAATAAATAGAAAATATACACAATAAACAAACCGCGCGGAGAGCAGACTGAGGCGGGCATCAACGCCCTAAGCTCTCGGCCGGTAGTTCTCTCATAGCTGGAATAAATGAACGGTTGCAGCCGGGTATGGGTGCCGGATGCCTGGCGCCTGGGTCACAGCTACCTGCAGTCCTCGGATGGTGTGGATGACGTCATCATCATCAGGGCAGCCAACTCCAGCAGGCCCGAAGGTATCTGGACCGGCCGCTGCGTGCGAAGACTCCGTCAGCCACCGCATGGCTGAGGCGAAGGACGTCTTCATCTCCCCCACCGCCGCCTGCAGCTGCAGGATACGGACACGTCAGCACGCCAGCTGCGAGGAGCAGACACTCCGACGCCCCCGCGACGGTCAGACACTGCACCGGCCAGATACGTCAGTGGGTCACCATAGCAAACACATGACGGGCAGCCGCAGTCGGAGGACGCATTCCACACACCCGTAGTAAAACGGCCGTAATAGACGCCGTAGTTGGGTAACTCGGCAAAACACGGAAAGTGTCATTACTTTAATACATTAAATCTATTGCGGACTTCAGCACGCTGTGTCCTGCCCCCGTGTCAGCGACAGCCTCCGGACGCAGACACGTGCTACGGAAGCACGAGCACTGCTGTGCCGATCGCGGTCACAGTGGTGCGTCGGCACGTGAAACTGGAGCCAATTTTGACATAGATCATAATGTAGTTTCTAGTTAGAGGACAATGCTTACGAACACATCACAGCGGCATAGATTCCTCTCAGACCGTCAGTCATACTTAGGCCAAATCATACATTCAACAGCACCATTCGTAAGGCGAGTGCTTCATTTTACATTTAACGAAAATAAAGTCACAACTTAAAAAATACATCCAACAATATCGTTTACGTTAAAAACTTCAAAATCTAAATGAAGCTTAAAATTTCATCTACATTATTGGTACCAATTTTAGCTGCGTGGCGCAGATTCAGTTCGGGACACCTCGATATTCGGTACGGAAGACTAGTTCATCAAGAATTACGGATGAACAAAATAAGCGTTCGAAACACCCGAAAACATTACCAGCGTCGAGAGAATTCCAGCTGGTGGATGAGGCTAAGTTATTTCCTCGGTATTATGATACATTTATTATTGGTGCTGGCACTGGGTTAAAACGAAAAATATTTTCTGGTGTGAAGCTTTCCGACATCGCCTTCCCAGCCATCCCCGGCCTGGTATTACTTGTCTTCGCCGGTCGGGGCAACTACGCAGGTCACACGCGACCACGGGAACTAAGCAGGGCAGAAACGCCGCAAAGCGTCATCTTACACATACCAATGAAACGGCATGGGCTAGTTACTGATGGTCGCTGTAGGTGACAACTTACAAGCCAAACCGCTTCCTTGAAGTGCAGTTCTAAAATATATGCCTATCTTCTAATCTAAAGAACCATATGCGCTATGGTACTGCAATATCCTGTATCCTATAAAGAATACTACTGTTTCCCCAATTCACTCGAGGAAATGGCGCTGCTTGCTTTTAGAGCATTGCTTGATATCTTCAGCATTAGCTATCGGAAGACGTGATCTCCATCAGGTTAGATACAGTGTTCAAGGTCTCACCTGGTGTGAACAGTGCATATGCACTATCTCATTCACCAAGCATGGTACTGCGATGAAGAAAACGTCGTTTGATAGCTCTCGTTGAACTGCATCCAAGATGTGTCGATCCGACTCTGAACATCAAATCAGGCTATTGGGACCAAACGGAATTCCTTACAAAGTCAGCCATTTTGAAGATTTTTTGAGGCGTATTCACATTGGCTTTTTTGCATGGGACGAGCCTGATCTCAAATGGCTGTACCTCCCCACGGTTTCCATAAATATCGCGTTATAAACTCAGAAAGCGGTCGTAGGTAAATAGCTAAATATATAAAATGTCTACAACACGTGTTAAAACCATGCGAAGTCAAATATCGAAGTTACCGGGATTGTGCCCAGAATGATGCGTAAGGGTACAAACTGAGACTCACAAGCAGCTCTGAAGCCCCAACGGTTAGCTATACTCCAACACTACTGACCTCCACCATACTTACACTACTGAGCTCCACCATACTCATCCCTCCTTCATACCGCCTGCCGTCTCCATCATCATCCTCTTTGGTCTAATGATGATTGCTATAGGTTATCAGCACCGGCAAAAACTTCAGCTAAGCACCTGTATAACTCAAGCAAAATGTGTCTTGTTCCTTCGGTCGCGTCATGACACGACAGTAGAGCAAGGGAGCACAAAACCAGAACGGACATCCACGCTTACTGATCATAGTGGAACGAAACTGAAATAAACTGAGATGCATTGCACGGTTGAATGAGGTGGCTGGCCTAAAATGTTGCCACTACCTTCGATGCAAGGAGATTAAAAAGCATTTAGCGGGAACATCCCAGCACCGAATTAAGGGGAGACGCACAACCATCCGCCCATTGTCGCTGAACACCGCAGTCAGAACCATCTATCAATCGCCCGTTCGACATCGAAGTATATGTAGATGGCGCTACCCCGTGTGCTCCCGAGCAGGCGCATGGCGGCACATAACAGCAGCGCAGTGGGCAACTGCATCAGCTGACGCTTGAGGGTGTAATATGCCTACTATGGCTATGTCTGGGGGTTGGCCGTGTTCGGTGCTCCTCTAATTACACATAGCTTGTGTTACTTGACCAGCTGATACGCACTGAGCCATCGAATATCTTTGACAACATGGGCTATATGGCTATTCCTTCCCCTTCCGCTTTCCCACCCGTGTACGCAAATTTATGAGTTTGTTGTATACGACATGGCTGAGTAGATTCATGAGCACCATACATGAGACACACTATCTGATTGAGCGGTATAAATGGCGCACTAAAAAATCCAGCCAGAATACCCTTAGAACTACATGCTTTGCATGGGACAAGCCATGAAGACGCCTGTTGACCTAACAACAATGTTGTCAATATGTGGCTCGAGCTTGAGGTGTTTGTCCACCACCACATCCAGGTTTTTATCGGTGCTGCTTTCAGTGGGGACATCGGACTCACATTTGATGCTCACAGGGGACATCTGACACAGCGCGTTGTGTCACGCGCGAAGAAGGCGTGCAGGCGGATGTGTTCGTCAGCGATACTGGTAAGGAAAATCATTTATACATGCACCAGAACTTGAGGATGTCCTGATCAGTAGCGAAATCCAATAAGCCCCGTGGTGAAAACATCGACACGACTCAATTAATTACCTCTCAGCCGCTGTCGGTCCGATGCATCGGTCGCATGCAAATGTAACCCGACAACACCACTTTTTGTCCAAGTGGGTAACAAAATTACCTCACGGCAGTCACAGCCCTCCTCCGGCACCGCTTGCGAAACATCCGGTTCTTATCATTGTAGGTCACAAGGAGCTGGGACACGAGTTCTTGTGGTTACTGTTCATAAGCTTGGTCGCAGCGAGTGACATGACCTGGTCTTGAACAGCTGACATAAGTCGTTTCTCAATAGATTGCCCATCGCTATGGGCTGGGCAGTGTTGAACTCACTTAGTGATTTGTATGTCGGGCATTCATTTACATGTGCAGCTGTTACATGTACATGTTACACCATGCAGCTGATTCCAGCTACACATCTTTTTGGGTACCAAGACCTGACACAACTTAAAAATACCCGACAAGCACTCCTCAAAAGTGTCCTAATATCGGCAGATCCATGGTGCGCGCACGAGTGTGCGTACACGGGTGTACAGACCGGTACATATATTCACAAACGCCCGTTTTCTCTTCCGTTAAACAATGTTGCTTTGGTGAAGTGACGACCCCGGAACGCCTAAGCCAGGACCGAATTCCAACCCAGACTTATTTACATTTTCCCATCTTTATATTTCCTCTGAGCAAGAAGTTGGGTTTTTACATTTTCGTGTCAGAATTATGCACATGGAAAACTGGGGCTCAGTGTCCTACTCCACATGCTATTTTGCTTTTTACCATTAGTTTTGTGATAACGCTGTAATATTGGTATCAGATTCCCATAACGGAGTCACAAGACCCGAGTACACCTGGTACTACTTTTATAACGTCACCGTTTTAGTTACTAAAACGACGCGCAGCGCAAGTATTAGTGATGCCCTGCGGTCTTATGTGTACTACCGCCGTATGCTTGACGTTTAGTATCTGACGTCAATATCGAGAAGTCATGTTGCATGGATGAATTTGGCAACAAAACATTCATATACGCGTGCATAGACGCATGTATATGTGCTTAAGCGTATACATGCGTGCACATATGCACACACACATATGGTCGTTCAGACCATGTGCGTATGGTTGTGAAAATTTCCACATGGATGGATGAATACACACATACATACATGCATTCATACATAGTGCATACATATATACATCCGCCGTCCGTCCATCTATCCATCCAGCCATACATACATACATACAAACATGCACATCAGCATGCGCACCCGCCTAAAAGCAGGTAGGTAGGTAGTTATAGAAGGAAAGTGCAAGATAAGTTCGTCAACTGAAGAGTTTTAAGAATTCCTAGAAATGATGTTTTCTGCAGTGCCCATATGCTCCTCACAATGGTTGTAAAAATGAAATGATTATGTAGCTCAAGAAAATGATCATAATGAAGCTCAAGACCTTTCAAAAACCTATCGGCTTGTGAATGCAGCCATGGCTGAAACTGGACGGTGAGTAAAGAAAAAGTGTATATCATCGCATACACAAGCTATGCCTTTCATGTTTGTGACCTCTGTCATCACACATGTTAGGATGACAGCTAACATCGAATGCGTTGCCTTTTCTACCCGCTGTCACGCTCACAAACTGACCAGATAATTCCTTTGCACCTACCCATTGTCAGCTTTTGTTGCTGTTCGGGAATCGTCTTTTTCCATCAGGGTTAACGTACTTATAACCGCAAAACGTTTTGAGTGTAAAAAGATGACATTCCATGTTCCATGTTCTATATTCCATATATGTTGATTGCATGTGACATTTTATGGTTTCCTTAGCGCGTGCCTAAGTCTGATTTCATGAATATCAGTGCCTGACCAACTTTGGTCAGTGCCTGACCAAAGTTGAAGAAAGGAGTAGAGATTGTCCGAAACTTCCGTTGAATGTAAGCAAGCTGGTTGGAAGATTATCTTTTTGCATTTATGATGTATCATCCCAGTAATATTTTCAAGAATGAGTGTTTTTAGAATGCTCTGAAGCCACTCGAAGGATCCGTATCTTATTTGGATGCTTGCAGCGCTATGTTTGCTATCCGTGTATTCCAATTCGCATCAAGTTCTTAACATTGATTCTGTTATTTTTGTGGTTCAGAACTAGAATCCGAATCATCAAAAGACATTGATAACGATTAATGACTGATTCTACCCCCTTCTCATAGAAGTTTTTATTCCAATCATGATTTGCCTCTCTCGATGTGTTTGCTATATTCAGAATCAATCCAAGTCAGTGGTGTAATTTCTAGTCCAATTGGGGGAGAGGGAGAAGGGGGCCTGAACCCCGCCACCGGAGTGTGGCGGGTGAACAGAGGAGTGTGTATCTGCTCCGGGGAGAAACCCACTTTTATGCATTTTGGGTTAGGTTTAGCCATATTGCCCTGCTCAGCTCACCCCCCTACCGTCACACACTTATTCTGTGAAACTTTGCCTCTGACTACGAGCATGTTAAGGTACATCGGTATAATCCGATGCTCTGACATTTCAGAACCCTAGCGCTAGGTCCATTCATGGGACGCGTTAGAAATGGATCAGGGAAGCTCATCCCCAGCAATACGCTTTGAGTCAAGGTCGGACGCATTCACCAGGCGCACCGACGGAAGAGAACAGGACAGTTACAACAGGAAGAGACAGTGAGACGGCATGTGACACAGCCGCACCAAACCAGATGATTTCCCAACATGGTCGATCGCGGTGACAGGTAGGACGACCGGAAACCGGGCTGGAAGAACAAGTTTATTCCATAAGTTTACGCCAAACTTTCCCCAGTCAATATGAAGGGCCATGTTACGGGTCTCAGAACGAGCAGGAACGCAATCTTAGTTAAACAGCCACTTGTGTAATTCGCGAGAGACAGACGACTTAATGAGCAGCCATCCCCATCAGTATTCCTAATTGATTTGTGGTTATCTACCGTCTCAGGGCGTGGCGATTACCATCGGATTTCGGAATCACGGGAACGCGAGTATTTCTGCACCGCTGCTGTCAGGGAGGACAGCAGAGCCTCGCTGCACTTTCTTGCGACCTTTGACCCGCGAAATTGCCGTGCGGCTTCGTAAATATTCCGCCGAGCTTCTCATTATGCACGTACGCTGTCGGCAGTCCAACTCGCAAGTTTTAAATAAACGGGAGAACTATCACCCATTGGCGAGGGCGCAGACCACGTTTTTGGCTCCCCATGACCAATGAAACGGCCGTAGGAGATGCGCGGTATTG